GGAGTTAAACCACGACAGTATCACGTAACAGCATTTTAAACACACAAGTCACTTACACCATCCTATGAAGAGAAAGACCCATTTCCGCAGCTTATCTGTGGAGTAAGTCATCACTATAGCAGTGTGTAAGTAGCAGCCTTCCACAAACATCCAGAAGAAGTTCGTCACCACAAAATAATTGTAGACAGTGGTAATACATCGACACCAGGGCTGGAAAGGGAACAGAAGAGAGTATTTTAAAACCATGGTAAGAACATTTAAAAGGTTCTATATGTTGCTATTCCCTTAAAAATCAATGGTGGAATTAAGTCACGGGATGGGTATTTATACCTGTGCCTTGGAATCACAGTATCTTCGGTGCTGTTGGAATCTCACAGCTGTGTCTGTGACTTTCTGCTGAGGCTTGGCTTTTACCACAACATGCAGGAGCTCCTGTAGCTGAGCATGTCTGGAGAGTTAACATGCCATATGGCACGTCCACACCAGCACTCTGCACGCAGTTTAAGAAGCTGCCGTGTGGAAGGAAGACAAGAGGACGCAGGTCCTTTGACTAGAGGCGATCTTTCAGAGGTAGAGGGGTGCAGCCATAGCCTAGGGTTGTATCCAAAGATGACATAGGAGTCTATCTTAGGCATATAACCCACCTGCTGATCAGTTCAAAGAAAATATAAGATAGAAGTTAATGTCACTGTCTTGCTTCACTTCCACTGAAGGGAAGGAGGACCACTGACACTTAGAAAAAAAGATATTTTACTTTAAAATATGCTTTTAACAGCTGCTTCATCCCCTCTATTCTTGCCATTGGTGCTTCAGTCTGTATTACTACACACATCACCTCCGAATTTTGCCATTTCAACAGGAATCTTTGGTCAGGCTCAATGTAAAGGCATCTTCTCCTAATGGCTGTGCAGTGAGAGCACAGCTGTGGAATACACAATTAGCTGTAGAGAGGCAGATGGTAACATCCCATCAATAAATCACAAGTAACTGCTGATGGTAATTTCCATAGTGCTTCACGCAGAAGTCTGGGAAAATCTCTTTCTGATCAAGCAGGCATTCAGCGTATTCCCTGGAGCGTGACTTTAATTACCTATGTTAGCTGGTATCATTGATGTCATTTTGGTCTCACCATTCTCCAGCTTTTTAATTAACTCTACTAAAGTATTTGAAACTTTTGACCCTCAGTTAATTTTATTCCAGACTTCATATGCATGAAGTATTGATGATCTCTGGACAGTCAACAGAGCAGCAGATGCACTATCAAACCCAGCAAAATTCTGTGGGCTAAGAATTTATTGGAGAAGAAACACAGTGACAAAATGATAGCCCGTTCACAAGTTGCAATCACATTTGTTTATTAAGCTGAAATAAACAGAAGAAATCTTTTGGGTGTGTTAAAGCTTTCATTTCTGTATTATTTCATTAAGATTTGAAATTCAGATTGGCTTCATCTTTAAAATAGGATTAAAAACCAAAGCAACTGAGAAGAAGATGAAACATTTTATTTTCAAAGTTTTCTTTAAACCAAATTAAATTTACTTTTTTTTTTTTCTTCTCCTTTTGGCCTGAGCAAAGGAAAATAAAGCCACAAACCAAGAAAAAAAACCCCACCCTATTTTTAGCTAAGAGTAAGCAAATATATCTCATGATTCCCGACTGACCCCCAAACTAGTAAGACTAGGTTTCCAGAGTCTCACGTTTGATTTTTTGAAGGTATGAGCATGAATTAAATCCTTCCCTGTGGCCTTAATCTCATGTAAATTCTCCACTGTAACATCTAGACTCTTGTTCCCCTCTCTCCCAAAATTGCAACACTTACATGGTTTTTGTCCTCTCCACAGATGCCCATTTTCACAAGAATTGTAAAAAATAATTATATCTCAGCCTGTTGTTTCTGTGTTAGATCTGACTGGAATTGGCCAGTGGATTGGGAAGATACTGGGACAGATACAAAGAAATACACATAATGGTGGTGAGATCTCCCTCTGCATCGTTTCCATAGGAAACCAGAATAAAATGAATTTTGGGCAATTCCTTTTGGAATTGTGAATTTATTATTATTGAATAATAAACCCAATTAGCAGAACTCATTAATTTATACCTTTTCATTTATTTGACTGAGGATTCTTGATCCCCACGTGTATCTGCCATTAGGCTCCAGATACCTTCAGGAATTCCCCTTCCTGATTTATTAACATAAGCACTAGAGCTCTGTGCAAAATGTTTCCACGTTGAGTCCTTCAGGCTTCTGTAACTGCATTATTTAATCTCCTCTGAACAGCACAGAAAAAATCACATCATTAGCTGGCGTAAACGATGGCGCTCCCATTGATTGTGGTGGTGTTATTTTCACTCTGACTTAAACCACAATAAGAACATAACAAAGTTATCACTAAGCTTGTATAAAGCACCTTCCCAAAAAGACAGCAGTGTTCTGCAGAGAAAAGATGAGTTCATGAAAACTGAAGCATGTGAGGGTCCGTCCTTCCATCTGCAGGTTTATATTTTCCTTGGCACTTTGTGGTCACATTTTAAAAGGCATTTGAGTGCCTGACTCCAACTGATTTTTCCCAAATAACTGTAAAAATCTATATTTGCAGTATTGTCATGAGAGTAAACCACACGGAGTAAAACTGTCAACAATAAAGCTCATGTACCACTACCTTGTGTAGTCTGAAAATGTCAGAAACACAGACAAAGCAAACAGTGAATTAATAGAAGCTACATCTTCCCAAAGGAGCATCTGATTGCATAATAACACAGAGTTATGCATAGGCTTCACCTGTATCTAGGTACTAATGACTCTTCCATTTGTTTTCCCAAAGTATGGGATTAAGGTTCAGATGTCAAATCTTGCATTTGAAAAGTTAACCACGGATGATGAGTGCCCAGCTGACATTAAAATGAATGGATATCCAGGCTGCTGGCATGGTTTTTAGTTTCTGCAGAACCAGAAACAGGAGTGGAGCCACACTGACTGATAACAGCTATGGTCCGGCTCATAATCTATACGCACTGTGCTTATCCTGCTTTCCAAAGAGAGAGCGTATGAAGGGTGGGGGTGTGTGTATGTGTGTGCATGTGTGTTTGTGGCACACTTTTTTCTTGATAGTGGAGGTAAATATCAGGGGACAGTCCTAAAAGGATAACACTCCACTCTAAGAATATTAAAAGGGAAAAGAGAACAGTAACAAAACCAGCCAAGGGACTATCAAAAATGGCTACTTGCCAAGGAAATGTGGAATTATTCCCAAGAAACTAATGAAAAATGCTTTTTCTTTTGGAATGGATGCTTTTAATCCACTCTGAAATCCTCATATTACTGGGGCAGCTGGGAGACTAAACAGAAGGAGGCACTGCAGTACTTAGGTAGGGACTGTCCTCACTCAGACAAGCAGCTGCCGTTGGCAGTTACTTGAGTGAACAAGAAATAACACAGAGAGTAAGAAAAAAGGGAGCATGGTGACATGCTGTTTTTCTCCAGAGTGCTCAAAGCCATGCAAAGAAGACATCTCACTTCTTGCTCCCTCCAGTCTTCCCGTTTTTTATTGCGTGGATCTGTCTGGTCCCTTGAACTGTCTCTCACTCTCAATCGCCTATCAGAAAGCTGACAGCATAAAACTCCTCCTTGCTTTTTTGTTGGCTAGGTTAGTGCTCCATCAGTTTGCTGAGTTCAGTCTCCATGGTTCACAGAGTGGGACCTCTAGAGATCATCTAGTCCAACCCCCCTGACGGAGCAGGATCCCCTAGAGTAGATCACACAAGAACAAGTCCAGGCGGCTTTGGAAAGTCTCCAGGGAAGGAGACTCCACCCCCTCTCTGGGCAGCCTGTTCAGGGCTCTGTCACCCTCACTGTGAAGAAGGGTTTCCTCATCTTCAGGCTGAACCTTCTGTTTTCCAGTGACTGGCGCCATTGCCCCCAGTCCTGTCACTGGGCACCACTGAGAAGAGCCTGGCCTCATCTTCCTGACACCCACCCTTTAGATATTCATTCCTCCCCAGGGGTTCAAGAAAAGGAACAGAGCTTGTGCAAAAGATGCAGCAGAAGCCAGAGTGATGCGGTTGGGGCGCTGGAGGAACAAGCTGTCCCTTTCAGCAACAGGGAGTTGCTGCTGGATGCAGCCCACACCACAGAACTTCAACCTCAAGGCCAGTACAGTGAAGAAGGGATTAGCAGAAAAATGGAATTTTGTAGAAAAAAACCCACAAAGGTAACAACAAGCAAAAATTGTATTGTTTCAGGCCTTATTTCTTATTTTCTTGGAAGTCCCACTGACTCTAGGCAGCACGGTACCCACTGCCATCAGGCAAAGCAGCTGACTCAGCCTCAACTGCCAAGTCAATTATTTCTGTACCCTGTTCATGGAGATGGTGGCCTCTGGAATGGATGTTTTTTTCCTACACAGATGCACATCACCGCAAGATGCTTTGGTAAATATTTTCAAGAATCACCAAATTCAGTGTCTTGCACAATACTGTGACTCACAGTATGTACATTTTGAAAGCATCTATGGTCAAAGAAGATAAGAGGGAAGGTTTTGGATGGGATTTCTACTGAAAAAAACACCTTTGATATTTAGTAATAAGGAAATAATTTAAAATGTAGCAAATATATGCTCAGTTTCTTCATCTTTTTGAAATGACATGAAAGTCAGTCTGAGCATGTGGGTAGGTGTCCTTTGCAATATTTCTATCAGTGGAACACATTCTGCATCCTTGCCTGCCCCTGAGCTACATGGCAGAGACAGGCTACCCCCAAGCACTTACTTCATTGCTTTCATGTATGTTGTGATCTATCATTTGAAGCAGAAACCACATCACATTCCTCAGGATGAATGTGGTGATCAAGTTCCAGTGGATAATATTCCGCAGGCATCTGATACTCCTAAACAGGGAAATACATCATACATAGTGAACATATACACATTAATGATGATATAAAATAAACAAGCTAGTTCTGTTCACTTGCAAAATTCCTCATGATTTATCCCTCTCCACTACCTCTCCTTATGAAACAGGAGGTTTGTCTGTCCAGTGGGTCAGCAGTAACAGTCTATGAGGTTGCCTGTAGCTTCTATCTTAACCAGAAAATGTATCTGGGTCTGGTCCCATTCTCTGGGTCTCTGCACAAATTGCACAGTCAGTGCCAAAGCCAAAACCTGGAGTTTGCAGAGTAGTCCCAACTCATGTAAATGACATAAATAAAAAGCTGCAGCAGGAGGATGGCAAAGTCTGTGATGCTTTTCCTTGCTATATATCGTTCTTCCAGAAACCACAGTACAACTTCTGCAAAGCCATGTACGACAATCCGTCGTGCTAACATGAGGACAATAATCAATTCAAGTAAGTGAAACAGGATCTACTGGAAAGCCCCAGATATTCAAATGGTCGTTTCATCCTTGGTTATCATTTTTGCTCCCCTATACTCTACCCCATCAGCTCTATTATATTGTCAGCTAGAACTGATAAGCCCCTGAACAGACAGGCTGCACTGGAGTCTGCTGCATGGTTCAGAGGAGATTTGGTGACCAACATCTGCGCTGAAGTGGCAGAACTGGAATAATTTGCATTCGGTTAGTCTCTTTAACAGGCTTGCCTGTGTGAAGTTCCAAGCTTTCTCACCCATTAAGGCAACAGGAGAGCATGGACTGCCTGGTTTTCAGTCCTGGGCTTAGTGGGCTGTATGAAGCTTTCATAAATGAGGTAGAGCTGCCTATTCACCTTCACCACAAAGTATCTGTCTGGTTTTAGTCCTTCCCCAGCCCCCATTCAGATGAAATGTAAAATATGAGCACAATGTAAAATATGAGCTACAGTAAGTTGGGACACAGAGCCATAAAACAAAAGAGGAGACATCTTAAGTAGTGGTTGCTGCTGAAAATAGCTCCAGGAGGCAGCCAGTGCATGGTGCTGGTGCCAGCAATGCTAGACAGAAAGGTACTCGTTATAGGTTCAGTCATCTAAGACAAGACTATTTGTCTTCTTATTCTCTGTGAAACAGTAAAGGAAGGCAATTGCTAAGTTGTTGTTTTGTAGTTAGAGTCTTTAATTAAATGATCTTTTCCCAGCTAAGAGCAAAACGCTTCAGTTGCTAAAATCACTTCCACAGGGGTTCAAACAGCCAGTGTATTTTCTGGGATCATCAGATTAGGATTCTGCATTTGCCCTACTAGTCTCCCTGCTTGCAAAGGAAGCTGTCAAATAATGTGGGACAAACACAAGCAGTGGTGTTCTCAAACCTTCTCAACTAATGGACTAGCTCATCCCAGCAACAGCAAGAAGAGAAGGCACAATCTAGAAACCAACTTTTCTGTTGCTTCAGGCCTTTTGCATGACAAACAAGCCAACAAACACTATTTTGCTGTCATAAAATACTTACTGCACTTTCTCTAGGGCTCGATTAGTCAGTCTTAGGGGCAGAAGCAATTCTGTTATGTCCTTCAGCCTCACAAATCTCTCAAAGATTTCACAGCAATCCAGCAAAAATACAAATAGAACTTCCATATAAGAGATACTGCAACTTACAGAAAGATGCTCCGAGGTATAGCCCTACTAAGTCAATGTTAAAATAGCTTCTGGGTTTAACAACTCAGGCTCCAGGAATGAAATTGGTATTTGGTTTTGAAAGCCTCACTGACTCACGACTGGAGTCAATTTGGAAAACATATCTCCAGCTGTTCAGATCCATGAACCTTTTATTTAGGCTACAAAACCCAGAAGTGTTGCTCTCAGCATAACCTGTGCTACCAGGGAACATATCAGAGACATGTCTCACTGAAAATTTCACTTCTAACAAAAGGCAAGGGTTCACAGTTAGGCTTTCAAAGAAACTAGGCAACCCACACCTACCGCCTTTCATGCTGAACCCTAGGAACCCATCTGGCTCTGGACAGACTTTGAAACATGCTATTAAGGTCTGCTCTCTGTTGATCGTTCTGCACATAAATGTCCTGTGGCTGCTGTTCATCTAGATGTTTTATTCACTCCCTTCAGGTTTAGGATTATCAGATAGAGGAAGGAGTTTGAAACACTGCTTCTAGGGGGAGAGGGAGGCAGGGGACTAGAAATAAAGGAAATTTAGGTCAAACTGTGGAGTTACTGGTATGAAATTAATTGCTTTTGAGAGCTCTAACAACAAAACAGTTCCAGCACACTTGCCACCTGGATGTATTTCTTGACAAAGAGAAGACAAAGGAGTGGGAAAAAGAAATCCTTACTGCATGCCTCCATTTAGATGTCGTTTAATCATCCCATGTGCTGGAACATCACGAATTCTGGCTGGAAGAAACCTTATTCTCTCAAGACTTACAGTAGGACATTGGACTGGGTGCACAGGAAAATAGGACCAAACAAGTAGTTGTAGACTTCTTGTTTCAGTTCATAAAAAGAGCTATTCCCCTCAGAAGGATCCTAGTCATCAAAACTACATGCTCTTCCCTGACGTGGAATACAAAGACAAACTCGGCATCTACTGGATGCATGACCTCTGCCCTCCTTACTACTTCTTGGTTCACACTGTTCTGCCTTATTTGCCCATCAGTCTGTAGCCATTGGCTTTTGTGTGGATTGCAAGAGTCTTGGGACAGAAGCAAATTTTTAGTGATGTCCGTTCAGGACCCAGAGCAAGAAGGTTTGGTTTGTGCTGGGAACTCCCAGGATCTACAATTACAATCAACACTCTCCTTGTTTTCCAAAAGCTACATGTGCTGAGGGAAGATGTGTTCCTGGTGTAAAGTTATGTAAAGTATAAATGTGGCCAACAGCTGGAATTTACCAAAATGAAACCTGAGGCCTTGTCACGTAATAGTTGGACATGAAACAGGGACAGTTGGCTCCCATGTCTCACTACCTTCAGCAAAAGCCATACTTTGGGTATCAGCGACCTTGTCCTGTGGCCTCATTCCCTTTCCGAGACACTCTGTGTGTGGCACAGATGGTAAATAGATGCTTTCACCTGCTAAAAAGCTTCATGTCTCTGGGGGTAAGAGAGCAATGAAGAAGAGGCTGTAGAGAAGGCACGCTGCTGTTCCGGCTGCAGTCTCTCCCCAGTCACATTCCCCACCACACTGCTGCCTTGGCAAAGCAGCACAACCAGGCGAGGGGCAGGATTTGGTTTTGTGAGCACCACTCTGCTGGTGTTAAGAGCAGCTAGGGTTGTAATAGAAACACCAGTAGAGTCAGGCTGAGAAACGCATGTCTGAAAGCGCTGCAGAGATTCTCAGTGGCTCAGGCAGTGATGTGACTCCAGGCAAAGAATGGTTTTAACCTTTCCCCCCCCCTTTTTTTTTTTTGTTTATTCCTTTCCTTTTCTTTCAGTAAAAGTCCCAGCTGGACACTCAAAGTTTGTTTCTGTTTTCTGAGAGCCCAGAGCACATGGTTGCTGTTTGTTTCTGTCTCCTAACTACTACCAGCACAGAAATCACAGTGGCAGTAATGCAATTCGTAGCCAAAGGCAGGAAAAGCTTGAGAAATAACTGTGTCAGGTTCGTATTAGGGAGGGGGAAACAGCAGGGTTCATATCGTGTGTGGAGGCTGCAGGGCACAGCACCAGAGGACTGCAGCTCAGTCAGTTGATGTAAGGAGGGA